GAAATACACAAGAGGCGCTCACCCACTGACTAGGGTATCTAACACGGTTTCACTACGTGCAAGAGATGTAACCTACAACTAAGCTTACCTACCCTCATCTCCCACCTAGAGAACGAGAAAACTCAATAAGCTCACCATCAATTCGGCACATAGTTGTAAGACATGAAAGTCATACTGAGCAACTCGAGAACGAGAAGATACACAGGAGTGAGGCACAACTCAAACAAATCGAAAACACACACGCTGATGCCCGGGAGCTCACACAGGCTCTTCGCTCAGAGCACAGCCAAAAAGTCTCACTACACACCCCAACAGCGCTCACTGCGCAGCCCTCGCCTCCCAGGCAGAGCGCACCGGAAGCTTTTAAAGCCAAGGGCCGTCAGCTGATTCGTCGCAGTATGGAACACCCTAATAATGATTGGCGGTGAGTCATCCACTAAGCGGAAACCTAGGAGTTGGGGAAAAAGAAAACACAAGTAACAAGAAAAAATAAAAACAAAAACAGCAACTCCCAGGGAACGTAACACTCACACACGTCAAGAACTCACACAAAACAGATGCCATGCAGCCAAACCATAAAACTAATCTGGATCTCCAAAGAGGGCAAACAACACCTCTCTCCTTGCTCATTTACGACCCCCTTCTACCCCTGCCCTCTCTGCCTCTCCCTCTTTTCCCCCAAAAGGTTTCACTCAAAGTTCATTAACAATATGTATACCACATATCATGTATCTTGTGAACCTGTTGTTTTTCCCCTTCATGTTTGGTATCGTTCTAAAGGTCTCTGTGCGATTGGTAAATTGGTCTCAATTTTACAGTAGTCACTTATGAGAAAGACTGAAAACTTTGGAAGAATTCTGTTCTGCTGCTGAGGGTGTGTCTGCCTCAGGGTCTGTGAGAATGTTTATCTATCTCCAGCCAGGTGTGACCCTGGGTCACAAGAACCTAAGTAACCAAAAGGTCTTTTATGTTTTTACAACTGATTTGAAGATTTCTTTGTTTTTGGTTTGGGTAGCCTATACAAGGGAAGTGACAAAACATTACTGAGGGATTCTGTAGTCAGAAAACCCCTGCAGCTTATGTGAATCTGGAGCTCTGCACTAGAGCTCACATACTGCTGTGTGTCTCGCTGCTGTCAGGTATGCATTTAGTTTTTATTCAAAAATGTAATTGTGTTGAACACATTGTGCCCATAGAACACATTGTATACAGTAGTTGTTTGTGCTACTAAATGTGCTCATAGGCTAGTTAAGTTTATTCTTTAAAACACGACTGCTTTGCTGTAAGTGTTCTTTGAAATGCTTAGGTAAAAGGTTGTATAGATGCTATGCATTCTAGACCATGAACCTTGTGTTAAAATTAGGATAACTGTTACATGTGTGACTGTTACATTTGTTTGTCTCTTGTGGAACACATGGCTATTCCCCATATAGCTACAGTATCTATGTGCAGGAGCAGGGTTGCCACGCGGCTACAATGTGATTCACAATTGCATTATCCTTTCTAAATTGTTTTCTAATTGTTTCATTATGTAATTGGCATGATACAATTTTACCTGACTAATAATAAATTGTTATATTTGATTTATTCTGATCTCTTCTGAAATCATGATTATTTCTAGATTAGTAGTCTGGTGTTTCCTGAAGCACCAATGAGTGAAGCGGGGGCTCATCATTAGGGATCTTCTGATTTCTGTCTGTCACTGACATAGCAAGTTCCAGTTTTTCGTGGTGATAGAAAAAATACACTTTTTGTTATGTGCTAGCTGGGTGCAGCCTATTTAAAGGTATTACAATCACCCTGTATCCTCCGAGTAAGATCAGAGCTGTTGGCCAAGTGAATTACTAAGCGACACTGGGTCGTTAATGAACGAATAATCGAAAGTATGAGATTTCCAGAATAATCAAATATCTAAATGAATATACAATCGATATCTGTGATAAGTTTTTAATTAGAAATATTGCCTACATTTAATGATCACTTGAAATTGGAGTCAGATTGAACACGGAGCTAGACTAAAATTAAACTAAATCCTGATTAATTCAGAGGCCCAAGTACAAGACCGAACACGCATTAAACCTTCGACCAGGCCGCTGGATTCCGCTTTTAGGGCCGGCGGGTGGATTCTTACGGTTTGCGAAAAAGTGGAGATGTAGCTGTATCCTCCAGGCTCTGCGCGGCGCGTCAATCTGAATGGAGTCGGGGTGAAGTTACGAGGTTTTGCTGAGAGCTTGAGGATCCAATGGCGTTACGAAATTTAACTGACAAGCTCTTTGTAATACTTATCAATGGTTAAATATTTGTAAAACCCTCTGATTTAAAATAATAATAACGAATTACAATAGAGATATGAATTTTGGATAATTTTTCACGGCACACCTGACTGGGCTAGGGTATGGCAACTGCCGTACTCTGCCATACGGAAACGCTGCCCCTGGTCGTGTAACGGCTCTCGCTTCAGTGAAAACACATCATCTGTTGTATTAATAAAATAAAATATTAAACATTTAAAATAATGTCATGTAGTCTGTTAGGCCTTAATAGGAGCAAATAGTTTGTACATTGTCTGTAAATTGTCATAATTTTGTATTAGGCTAATTCAAATAACTTTCACGAACAGCTATATATCTGTCTGTGTTTAAGTGTGTAATGTGTGGAAGGTAAAGCAAGCAGACATGGACCTGGATGCAGGGTGTGGCACCATTATACACATGCAGGCACCATTACATTACATTCCTGACAAAAAACTAAAGAAACACAAGGACTGTATACACAGGGGGCTAATCAAAATAACAAGACACCTGGGGATACTAATCAAGGGGAACCACTGAACAATCCCACACAAGACAACACATGTAACATATGTAGTTGGCTTGCATTTATTGTAGGTATAATTACAGTACAGTTCTTGACATCCCACCTCAGACCTCGCTGATTTTCAAACACTCGTTGTAGCCCTAACAATAATGTAGGCCTACACTTGTTAATGTGTTTATTCTTGTTGCCACTTTTTTAAAACCCTCTGGTTGTCACAATTTGCTGCCGGAAGGAACGCAGGAGACACCGAGAAGCATTTAACAGTCTTTTAATGATCAGACATGGGTAAATCTACAGGAACGAAGAATGACACGCGTAGCAATATAACATGTAGACCCCGACAAATGAGAAATGCACAGACAGGAACTCTTCTACATGACATAACAAGGGAACTGGGAGGAACACAGGTGCACAGACTTACTAATTAGACACTGTAGGAACTGGGTCACGGAGCACATGGGGAGAGAAAACACACAACAGTCCAAGGGCGTGACACTGGCGCTCCTTGCATGGCAGTCAATACCTTTTTTTCAATGAAATGAATGTACTATGTACAAAGTATAATGTTTTTAACTTGTTTTTTTATGGTACTAAATTATTTATACAGTAGGTTTTTTTTATCCATATTACCTGTTTACCACTTTTTGAGCGTAGACCGAAAATGAAATTTCAAACTGAAACTGCTGTAAATCTTGATTTCTTTGGAGTGCAGACTGAAATTGTGTCTCTTTTTAAAGAAGACACTTAGCAAATTATTGATAGTGGAAAAAAAAAGTAAAATTCTAAAAAGTTATAAAAGTTTAAGGTCATTGTTTTGACAAATGCACAAAAATACTATTTTCAAATTTTGTATGACATATATATTTTCCATAACATGTTTTACTCGAACATCATAAATCTAAAACAGTTGTGTTCCACATTTAAGGTTCATATCTCAAAAAATAAACTTTCAATGAGATTTTGTTTGGGTACAGTACCAAACGTTTCCACTAGTGCCAAAATCTTTACCAAGTTTCGTACCATTCTGATGAAGAAAAAAAATAAGTAAATATTTTGCCATCAAAAATGACTGAAGAGCACCAGAGGGTTAAGAAACTAAATTAAGCATAACAAACCAAACTAACATTAATTGCATGAATAACAATGACACCCCAAAGCTAGCACCGACATATGTATAATTACAAAATAATGTTAAAGTAATTAATGTGATATTATAATTATGATTATTTTTCCACACATGTTTCTGTGACAGATCCAGCTGTCTTCTTGTTGAAATAGTGCACTCAACTGCCACACACTATATAAGGCTTAGTGAACGAATTAACAAATGGGTACGCGATTCTGAACACAGCACCAATTTTTTTTAGATTTAATAATTTAATAACAAACTTCTCATACCTATTGTGCCATAACTTTAAGTGCCATGTGCCACTGAAAATGCCTCACAACCCAGTGCAGATTCCAGTGGCACATGAAACTAAATGTCATTGGATGTGCCCCAACTTCCAACAGCATGTTCCAGTGGCACCGAAACACAAGATGCCCTATTAAACACTTTGTGACAGATCAGTTTGACACGAATCTGTGCTTTAGTGAAAGTACTGTTATGACCCAGTTTTTTTTTTTTTTTTTACTTTAGAAGTATTGGTGTAACTGATCCTGCTTATAGGATTGTGTGTCACACATCTAAACACACGCATGCTTTTGTCCATCTTGGCTGGTATCTTCAGAAGAGTTATAATTGGGTATAAATGTAAATTAAGTAATATTATAGTATTCTTAATACCATTAACATTTACTTTCATCGCTATTGTTCTACATGCCCTGTGAAAATGTACTGAAGTTACTCTAGATGTCGCTAGCTGTTCTGTTTTTCTGTGTGCTTCACATTTATTTAAGTGGATCCATTAACCAGGATGACATAGTAGAAACAGTCCATTTGTCTGGATAAAGCAGACTTTTTTTTGAGTCCATTAAAGAATGCGCTTATTGTCAATTTTAGATTCTCAAGGGACAATGCAGACTAATGTATTTGAGTATATTGGTTTAATACCCAATTATTATGTTGTTTCTGACTTAATATTGCTGTTATGATATAATGATTGATATGATTACTCATTGGTGTTGTCCTTTCTTAAATACTTTCTCTTTCGTCTCTGCTATGTTTCCTATGTTACATCCAGCAAGGCAAAGCGTCGTGGCTTATGGAGCTGAACTCTGATGGTTAACAAAGCAGCGTAATGAGTGGGAAAGTCTGGACATTGATCACTGTGAGTTATTATCAGTCTTTGCTAATGTGTTAGTGCAAGTCCTTGGAATGAAATGTTTAAGCCTTTCAGTGAGGTGTTGTGTGGCTGCAGTTTATTTTTTATTACACTGTTAAAGATAGCCCATGTAAATTGTATTACAAAAATACAACAGTGTTTCCATAAGATACAAAACATATGATTAATTATTTTAGATGACAGTTGTCCAGAGCTGGGACTTGATTTTTGGCATTTCCTTCATAGGCAGTTTCATTCATCACATATATTCATGATGTCCAATCTGGGTGTATGCAGCACGATGTTAAAGCACATCTGGTGAGTCTATCCTTCAATGTTTTTGCGACTTTCTGCCCATATCACTCCCAAGTGAATCTGGAGCTTGTTGCTTTTCATACTGCACATTTCTGAGTTTTTAACTTGGGAAAGCATCTTGCAACAATGTGCAAATTTAAAATGTTTTCTAAAAAAGTGTTACAGCCATAATGTTAAGTCATGTTATATGCAGATAACAAGCAGTTAACATCTCACAATATGTAGCTGTTCTTACATTCTTACAACTAAGTGTTTTTATTTTTTGACATTACTTTCCTTATGGTGGGGAAAGGGCTTTAATGCTGGATGACAAATTAAGCGTAGACATTTAATACACTAGACAATAGAGTACATAGTGCCTAGTATAAGTTACTTTACATTAGTAAATTACATTAGTCTTATCTTGTCTCTTATCTACACTTTTTCATAGCTTTATGAAGCATTTGATTCAAATTAGTCAATTGTAGTGTTCTGGTGCCATGATCCCTAAAGTGTAAATTGTTGTCCCTGACTACCCGTTTTTCATTAATGTGCTTGATTTATGTCTCTCGTAGCACTGGTCCTAAGGTCACTAAGGTTCCATTTATTAACCTTAGTAAACAATATAAAATGAATTAAAAATGATCTCTAGAGCATTTATTAATCTTGGTTAATGTTCATTTCAACATTTACTAATATTAAATTCATCTGTTAGTATTATTTAATGGACCTGAACTAACATGAATTAACAATGAACAGTTGTATTTTTATTAACTAACATTAACAGATTAATAAATACTGTAACCATTTTATTACTTAATGTTTGTTAATGCATTAACCAATGTTAACTAATAGAACCTTATTATAATGTGTTACCCTCAAATCAATATTTTATGTATTACTTAAGTAGCCTTGTAATAATCAGGATAGTCTGCAATCAATATTGTAAAAATAAACTACTTTAAGATGATACAGGATGATATTCTGATTATTTAGGTTTAGGGGTAGGTTCATGGTTATTACCTAGTTATTAACTAGTTATTGTAATTACTTAGTAAGTATGTTCATGCAGAATAGGACAGTAAAATAAAGTGCTAACGTTTATTTTTGGGCTCAGTACTCCAAAAATTTTATTTATTACTCATTAGTTACTCCTTTCTAAAGTAATATTATTACTTATTACTTTCTGGCAACAGTAATTAGTTACACTACTAGTTACATTACTTTTCCTTCACACCCCCCAGAAGTTGTAATTGTGTATCTTGCCCATAAAATTCTTCTAAAATGTTACTAACAATATATTTCTGCCTCATCATTTGACCAAAATCTACATTGGATCGCAGTCAGAAGTTATTACAAACACTCAATGGTGATTGATAGTGACTTTTAAGTAAAAGTGTTGTATTAATTGTTATGTGTAGCTTGAAGCTAATTGTAGCTATACTTTCTCTGTTACCCACATATGATTATATTTCATGAAGTATTTTATCAAAAGAAATCACATAAACTCATAAGATGTTTAATTATAGTAATATAATATCTATTGGGATCAGAGGGATGTGGGAGGGCAAGCCATGTAATACCAGAGTAAAGTAATGCCACATCTTACACATCTGTGTTCAGATCAGCCTTTCTCATGACAAAATCAGTGTAATGGCAATATTTCCATCCGCTGATTGTAAGCGTATCCATATTCCAAGCTTTCCTGATGCACTGGTGACTTCATGCGCCTGTGCGAGTCGTGAAAATTATGAAAATAAATCTAGGAATTATTGGATTGTTGTATTTCAAATCAGTAGGGGTTGAGGCATCAAAATTAACTAAGTAACGAGCTGTTTTATGGATGGTAAGTGTAATATTATTACTGAAATCTTATTAGTAATTAGTTACACTACTAGTTACTGCAAAAAGTAATATTATTACTGTAACTAGTTACTGCCCAACACTGCCGACTGTACATGAGTCCTTAAATATGTACATACTGTATCTTCTTTAAATCTGCATAGGATGACCTGTTGTTGGAAGAGCATGTGTTTGAGATTAAGGTGTTCTCACCTGAAACGAAGGTAAGATAACTTTTATTTACTTATTAACTTTATTTACTTTTAATATTAGTGGTAGTAGTAGTCGGATAATGTGTTATTATAAGCACTATTAGCTTCTTTAGATGTTTCTTGTTATTTCAACTGTATTGCACAGAAAAAGACAAACATAATAATTATAACGGTTTATTAACTTGAGCTACAAAACTGCATTTCTCTGTCAGTCTTATTTTAGTCTCAATTTTAGTTTAAATAATTGAGTTTAATAATAGTTATGTTATGGTTACAATATTTTTCTGACTGTTTTCCCAGGAACACAAGCTTCTATCAGTAATAAACACCTTGTGTTCAACCTGGACTAATAACAAATTTAAGGACATGAATAAATTAAAAGTGCTAGAAACCTTTCAAATAATGCTATATAATGTGAGTATACTGCTTACTCTATCATATTCTGTCATTCTGTTTCAAATATCAAATAGAATCAGTTCTGACTGCATGGTTTCCCTATTTCTATCTATAGCTAGACAAAAATTTTACAGACTCTTGTGCTAATCTCAATTGCACAGATGCGTACACAGTACGCCGCATTGACACAAACACTTTTGGAGAAATGTACAAAAGATCTTGTGATGGATCAGTATCAGGTATGGACATTCAACCTTTCATCATTTATGCTTTTTCTTTAGTCTTGCCCATCCTTAATTTATTCATAATATGAACAATGGCCACCATAAATCTCTGGCAAGGCAATACTCTGTTGCTGAAGGCATTTAATTAAGACAGAATATTTAATAAACAAACACGTAAAATTACATGGAGTGGAATGTTGAATGTTATGAACAATACATGTTTGAAAATGCACATTTTGCTCACTTTCTCTTTTTTCTACTTAGACCTGAAATGTCCATCAAAGAGTAAGTTATTTGACATTATCTCACTTAAATATCCATGATGTATCTTTTTGTATACTCTTTGTAAAAAAAAAAAAAAAAAAAAAAAAAAAAAAAAAAAAAAAAAAAAGGTTACAGTGCGATCTCTCTAAGCACACACAGTATTATATGTTAATCTCTGAGTGTTGTAGTACAGAAATTGTTGTTGCATTAATCTGTTGAAACCTTTTGTAATATATCATGTTTTGTAATTACACAGGTACAACCATCAACCCAACCACTGAATTCAGTAAGCTGACTCAGTTTCTTATTTCATATTCACATTTCAAACACACATATTTTAACTGCCATTCACAACTATTTCAATTAAAAACAGATCATTAGTTCATGTACATTCAAATATAAATATTTTAAAAAATATTTAAATCAAAGGTTCAGTCAGCTCTAACTATTTGAAAGTACATGACCTAAACATCTACGACTAAACACATAATTATTAAATAGTGACAACAAGTCAAGTATCTCTAGTTTTGACAACCATGTTTGCTGAAACAGATGCAAACCTGAAGATAATGTGAGGGGAAAAGAAAGACGTCAGATTCAAAGCTTTCTGGGCACATGCATGGTATTATAGCTGTATTGGTCTTTTGAAGCTAAGTGTAATATAATCTCTTTTCTAATTAATCACATAGGCTCAGCATTTTTAACGACGGTCAGTTTAATCACCACAGATCATGAAAGTAAGCAAATTCAATATTGCATTTCATATTCACATCAACACAGATTACAGGACAGATAATTTGTCTGCCACGTGAATCAGAGTTTTTTTTTACATCAAACCACATTTTCTAATCACATAGGCACAACAGCTTTAACAACGGTCAGCCAAAACATCACTGCTTCTGAAAGTAAGGATCCCATCAATCTTCTCCAATTAAGTACATACAGAGTATTTGCATACAGTGGGGAAAAAAGTATTTAGTCAGCCACCAATTGTGCAAGTTCTCCCACTTAAAAAGATGAGAGAGGCCTGTAATTTTCATCATAGGTATACCTCAACTATGAGAGACAAAATGAGAAAAAAAAATCCAGAAAATCACATTGTAGGATTTTTAAAGAATTTATTTGCAAATTATGGTGGAAAATAAGTATTTGGTCAATAACAAAATTTCATCTCAATACTTTGTTATATACCCTTTGTTGGCAATGACAGAGGTCAAACGTTTTCTGTAAGTCTTCACAAGGTTCACACACACTGTTGCTGGTATTTTGGCCCATTCCTCCATGCAGATCTCCTCTAGAGCAGTAATGTTTTGGGGCTGTCGCTGGGCAACACAGATTTTCAACTCCCTCCAAAGATTTTCTATGGGGTTGAGATCTGGAGACTGGCTAGGCCACTCCAGGACCTTGAAATGCTTCTTACGAAGCCACTCCTTCGTTGCCCGGGCGGTGTGTTTGGGATCATTGTCATGCTGAAAGACCCAGCCACGTTTCATCTTCAATGCCCTTGCTGATGGAAGGAGGTTTTCACTCAAAATCTCACGATACATGGCCCCATTCATTCTTTCGTTTACACGGATCAGTCGTCCTGGTCCCTTTGCAGAAAAACAGCCCCAAAGTTGAGTTTTTACCAAAAAGTTCTACTTTGGTTTCATCTGACCATATGACTGAGTATTTAATCCCAGTTTTGTTTTTTAGAAAATGTAGTACAAATTTGACTATTTAAAGAAACCAACAGATATTTAACTGGAAATATCCTTGATTTCTGATTATATGGTAAGATCAGTCTTTTATGGCCTTACTGAACTGTTTTTCTTTTTATATGAGTATGCAATATTTTGTAGATTTGACAGCAGTTTCATCGGCACGTACAGAAACCATCAGTAAGTTTGTCTCTTGTGAGAGCAGCTTCATCTGTAATGAGCAGCATAATGGCTTCAGCATACACGCAGTGGTCTGTTTCATATTGTGCATTTAGAAACGTTCAGCACCAGTGCAGTGTCTTTATTTCAGTTATCTTCCCATTAGCTTGAACCCATCTGACCCTTTCTCTTTTACAAGGCCTTATACCTACAGAAATGTTGCCATCTGTCTGTTTTTGTTGTTGCTATTTGCACAATTCTCACCTGTTTTTGAAACACTCATAGCACAATTAAACTCACCATTTATTCGTCATTATGAAGTCCATGTATACAAACTCGTACGCTGTGACTTGATGATAATTGGCCGATTAAATATAGCAGGTGCATAGGTGCACCTAATGAAGTCACCACAGCTTGTGCATTGTCACTAATTACTAATTTTACTAATACAGCCATTTACTAATTACTAATCATTTTGTACATTGCAATAATTACTAATAGTTTTGTGAAATAAAATCTAATACTGATTTTTTTTCATCATAATCTTTAATATCACAAGCCAACAAACTACTTTTTAAAAAATATTTAATTTTGAATGATATATATTCATCTTTTAGGTTGACACTGGCTTGTATATCAATATATATTGGTTTTCCCTTTTATTACAGTTCAAGCATTAAAAGATGACAATCAGAATCTGTGGGGTAAGTGTGAGATCTGTGGGTCTTTCTGACCAATTCATTTTGCTTTCCAGTCTTCTCTTTTCCTACAAATCTCTTTATAAACTAAATTCCCCCCTCCCCCCTCCAAGCTGCCATTAAAGCGTGTTCTGGACTCCTGGTTGTGTCATTTCTGCTGAATATTGTTTTACTCCTCATGGTGGTTCTTGTGCACAGGAATTCCAAGGTAAAATGATCTAAGCATTAATTTGGTTTGTGAATTTATATAAAATTAAAGCAGGTTATTTTGTATTTGGGTAAGGGGGAGTGGTTTAATTTCAAACCATTGCTTCTCACTAAGTCATCTATCCATAATACTGCTATCGCCATGAAAAATAGTTTTGTCTGAATATTAGAGAAATATGCACAGATCAAGCACTATTTAAAAGTGAAAACAGTTTAAAACGATTCAAAAAAAAAAGTAGGTGGATTTTAATGTAAGAGGATAGCAGGGGATGTACTTTCACTGGAGGAAGCATTATTATTGATTACAGATATTTATTTATTATGGTTTGTTTCTTTAAATTTAAAATTAAATGGAAATGCTTAATTTGCTGGCAATCTTTTATGGCATTATTTTAAGTGTTAACTATAAGAATAACGTTTATATCAGTATGTAATATTTTGTTTATGTAACATTTTGAACCTTTGTTAATGAATGTTAATTGGTCTCTTATGAGAGCAGCTTCATAGCATAACAAGGCCTTCAGTATACAATCAGTGACCTTTTTATCATGTAATAAAGAAAAACTAATATTTTTATTACAGAAGAATATAGCCAGAGAGGTGAGGCACAATCAGTTAGAAGATAGACTGATTTAGGTAACACCAACTTTTTGAAGATTTTGGGAAATGGTTCAAATGAGCAGGATGTATATTAAGCTTTTTTAGTAGCTGTCTTGGACATTAAGTCATTTATACATTAGGAGAATGTCAGATTAATCACAGTATACTTCTTTCCTCCTCTTTTTCCTTGCAGTAAATTACCATTTTAGCACTGCGGTAAGCTGATCTTTTTGTCACTCATCTAATTTTTAATCACTGAGATTCTGTATATATCTAATCTTGTTTGTTTTTCTTGTTCAAGTTGGTTGCTTGTTGAAGTTTTTCTCCAGTTACATAATCATTCTTCAGTCATCAGTTGCTGCTACCACAATCTCTATGCATGCCACAGTGCTGTCTTTGAATCTGTGACTGGCAACCATCCTAATATATGCAGCTTGTTATATTAATATACTCAGTCATGTCCACACAGATTGTGTATTTTACAGTTTCTACTTGTGCTTGTCTTGAATGTGCCTCCGTAACTGTTATCCTTCATCTATCAAGTACCTCTGTTCATGGTTTTCTGACCTAGAATCATATGGAATAAAATGGTCTGTCTGTCCAGCCCACAGGTTGTGGGTTATGTTTTAAGAAATACTTTAAATATACCATAATCTGAAATAGATTTTTAACACTTTATTTTATTAATCTTAGTATTTATTATCAGTTTTTAAATGATCTATTTACCCATCCCCGGTTTGCTTTATTCTGTATATTATATATTTTTGTTCACACAAAAATATCGCAACCAGTACAGAAATTATTGGGAAAAAAGATCTGTGACCCTTTAGCATTCAGGTCCTGAATGGTTGTGCCAGACAGTTTCTTTTGAAAGGAACGATGGGAAAGAAAAGTATTTACATCTAAGATCCCGCTGCAAAATTTTGCATATTTTGCTATGTTTGCGTGACATGCAGAATTTATTTCTGGGTATCTCAGAATGTACATTTTATGTTAATGATCTTTGTGCTTTTGTGTAAAATTGACAATTGTTTGCTGCAAAATGCACCCAGTAAAACAGGAAATATGATCATGTGTATCTTAGACCTCACTAAATGACACTGAAAAGTTCTCATTAAAAAAAAACTGAATGGCATGTTCATTATACTATAGTCACTATATAGTCTTTGTCTTCATTACCAAGAAGTGGTATGTGTTCCCTACTATATCCTCTGGGGACCCAGGCATAGTCTTTTGTCCTCTGTAGACAACATTATATTTTACTGAATTTCTCTGAGACCGCAGATGCCCACTGATCTCTATAATGACTGGATTGCTCATTGTTTTCTTCTAAACTGCCATTCAGCTGTGTAGCCACTGGAAGTGATCGAGCCGCCATCTTACTATTCCCTACCGGCAGAGAGCATCATAATCACCCGATTTGAAGCATATCAGTCACATGGGATTAGTTTTTAAGATATGTGTATGTAAATACATTTTTACTTCAGATCTTATCTGCAATGTTTATGGTCTTTTTGGGCAGGATAAGCGTGAAATAGTTTAGGTGGGTGTGTCTGCTGCACACTTGCCGACAAGGGTAACTGATCAAACACATATTTTTTTTATGCACGTAATTATGCAGGAATTCAAGAAATAATAAACGTGAAATATCTATTAGTGTCTGAAATTGATTTGAATTTACAATGAATATAATACAAGCCAGATTTATTGAGAGGTGCAAAGAAAAAATTCTTGAACTTTTACATTTAAAATGGTCTTTTCTGTTCTGTTTCTTTTTCAAATCTGCATCGTGTAATTTGCTGCTGTATCAATACAGATACATCCGTATCGATACGCGTATCAGCAATGGTCCACTTTAAGTCGAACACACCTAATGTTAAAACATGTTAGCAACATGTTAAATCATGCTAACAACATGCTAATTAATGGTAAATCATATTAGCAATGTTCAAATCATGTTGGCAACGTGCTAACTATGTTATCAACATGTCAAATCATCGGTCTGTCTATCTAACTTTCACACTTTATAATTGTTTCAGACTTCAAGCTTTTACATCTCAGGGTTCTCCTCTGACAGTTCTGTCTGACTTGTCATTGTTCAATGTTTCTTTGTTTGTCTTGTGTCTGAGTGCATGGCTCTGTCTTTGTTTTGGCCATGTGCTCCTCTGGTCCTGCCTCCTTTTTTTAGTCCTTATTGAGTCTATTTGCCTGAGTGTGCTCACCTGTTCCTCATGTTCTCAGCTCCCTTAATATTGTGTTCTCTTGCCCTCATGTTTTCTTTGTTGTTATACACTTTGCTATGTAATAGTTCTTTGCTGTTAAATAGTCAGTAGTGGACCTTCTTTGTATTTACTTGTAGATCTTGCCTGCCAATCCTCGTTGTGCTTTGTTCATTCCTCTGTTCCTGAGTATCCTGGCTATTGTTTAGTGTTTTACCTTAATTTTCTCAGTTTTCTCTTGAGCTTTTAGTTTACTTGTATTTAGTTTTCCCTTTAGCTTTCCTTAGTCGTTTGCTTTTTGCCTTTTCTTTTACTAGTTCCACTGGATTATTCCTAGCATCTCTTTATCAGGTTTCTACTTTATAGTGTTTCTAGTTATTGCTTAGCTTTTGTTTCTGTCTGTCACGTTTGTTGTGTCTCTTGTCTGTTCCAGCCCTGTCCTGCAGGCTGAGCCTCTCTGAACACTTTCTCTTGTGCTGTGTGATCCTGCCTGATCCTCGCTGTTTTCCCCAGTCTTGCACTAACATTCCTTCATAGCGCTCTAACCCACCACCATCCTGGGATGGACTTGGGGGCCGCTTTCTCAGACTGCCTGTCATTGTGCCTCGTACCTGCCTATTGTTTGGACTGTTCACCTCCTCTCCCTCAATCTCTCGTCTTGTCGATAAACCCGTTATCATTCATTCTGCACTTAAGTCCTATTCTTTCATGGATCCCTGACATTACAGCTACTTAAAACTTTCAGGCTAGGCTTTTTCAAGACAACTTAAAGTTTATCTTGACAAAGTTTTTCCCTTAGTTATTTATCTAATTTTCAAACTGTTTGTCATAAGTAAACGTCCCAGGAATACATTATGGGGTTTCAAATAAGCAATTCAGACTTTTGGACAAACATCATGTTAATCAGGCATTTTGAGGATATACAAGAAGTCAATAGGGGGCAAAATTATAGATCAATATTCCTATGAAATATTACTTATGAAAATGTTGCTACGTTTTTACTTCCATTATTACACTTCTTTTCTCATTACATGTTGCCCCAAGAACACATTGATATGCAAATTAGATAAAATGTATCGATAATTTGCATAGATTGGGAAAACAAATTTATGGATATTTTACACGGATATTGCATAAAGTAAAATAGTATATCAAATCATTCTGTTACATCTTTCATATAACATAGTTGAGAATCATCTGTACAAAGTTAAAATAGTTAAAAATAGCCTGAAACCTAAAAATTTATTTAAAAATAAATAAATAAAACATTGTTTTTACCTTAACTGGAAAAAGAAGTGTTGAAAAGGTTTCTGTTTGTATTACTTTTTATTTAATTAAATCAGGCACCTACCACAGTGGTGCCCGGAGCCGTCAATCTAAGCAAGGTACTTTTATTTTGACACCTGCGAGAAAGGCTGCGCTAACGTCATGTT